AACAATTGTGCTGGGTTCTGAGGGAGAAGCTGGAGGCAGCGAGAGCAAGGCGCTTGAGCATACTAGTTGCCACTGCAGCTTGCCACTTTCCCGCACTCAAGACATCTCAAGACTTTGTCTTCCATGTAGCATCACCATCACTGTAGCTCCCCGTGTTCTTTCCTGCGCCAACCTCAGTTGCCACCACTGACTCAAGCTCCATTGCTACACTGCCACACATCGTGCATTTTTTTGAGTGTCAATGCCGGTGGATCTTCTCCTTCGGCGCACCAGGAAGGGGGGGGCAGCATCACCCGAGGCCGGTTTTTTGTGTCACAGTGCTGTCAGTTCGTGCAGCCGGCGTCAACAACTTTGTGTCGCAGCGTTAAGGCATTAAGTTGTTCAATAAGGTTCTAGCTCCTAGTAGCGATGCACTTGTTACTAGTAGCTTCTAGCCACTAGTAGTCATGCCCTTGTTACTAGTAGCGACTTAAGGCATTAAGGTTCATGATGGTTCATGGCGAGGTTGTTTGATGTTCGTTCTGCCTTGCAGGGCCGTGAGCTGAGGGCATTGAGGCCGGACGAAGCGAAGAGGATTGACACAGTTCCGGTCTCGTTCCTTGGTTTCTTATGGTTTCTTGGTTTGTGGGTTTGGAAGACGAGGTGCAGTTTGGGAAAGTGATTGATGCAGACGTTCATCACCTTTTGGAGTCCAAAACGTTGTATCCAATCATTTGCCAGAGGTTCGGCCTTTTTGTTGCCCTTGGATTGAACCCTGGAAGTGTGTGACCAGTTTGTTCGACCAAGTGCTGATATGTGCCAATATCATCCAATATCTACTGTTCCACTACTGGTAGTAGGATGTTTCTTTACTAACACTGTAGCCATGTGACCAATCCACAACACAGACCGACCACCACCAAGCGTTATGAAACGAACCGCCACTTGAAAGCAGCTCTCCTCAGCAATCTGGTCAAGCGGCAGATCTTGCACCACCAAATGTGGCGGACAAATTGCCAACAAACATCGGCCAAAACCACGACTAGTTATACGGTAAGTTATACGATTCCATTTTTTTGGAGGCACCATGGTGCCATACCAATATGCAGAGACAACAAACCAAGCCCTGCATTTGCCACCGATTTCTTAATGACTAATAGAGCTTTGTCACTTGCCCAACGCTAGGGAGCTGTCAGAGAAGATGAGAAGAGCAGCACTGAAGCTCATAGAGGAAGCAGGCGAGCCGACGCTCTCGGCCGACGAAGGGAGCACTACCTACCAACAAGCCATCCAAGACTATCAACCGCAGAGTTGACATTTTGAGGTCCGAACGCACGCAAATCATAGGCACTGCAACACACTTTTCAAAGGCCCAACTTCCTGAGACTCTCTTAGGTTGGAGGTCATCGCTCTTAGAGTTGGAGGCCATCGCTACTAGCGACTAGTGTTTCCCAAGTCGTTTCGCACCCGCCGCTCATGGCCCAGCTATAGGCCCCTGCCGCTTCCGCGAGATGTCGGCGTGCGGAGTCCCGGTGGCAAGACCACAGAAGAAGACTGAAACGGAACACATAGTAACAATGACAAACCACAAGCCCACAGGCGGTGGAGTGCAGTAAATGAGAATATGCTTGCAGCAGATTGAATAGAAGAAGCACTTGTAGGTTCATGAACCATGAAGCGCTTGTATGACCTGCGAGAGTCATGGTCGTGGAGTTGTTTGTTTTTACCCAGGCGGTCTGGGGAGTATGCTCACTTGGCCATGGAGGGAGATTTCAGGACTCAGACAGACACTGGAACTGTTGGCCCGCGCGCTATCACTGTGGTAAAGCATCCAAAGCTTTGCGTATGGACTCATGTGGGTGTGGACGCAGGAAGATCCCAAAGAGCCTCTAAAATTCCCAGGCAAAAGCAGGAACAGACAAAACCATGAAACCATCAGACACCCATTGGTTGGGGTTCTCCCAATTTTGATACACACGTACATCACTGCATATTTCAGATCACAGGATACCACAGGATGATCCTTTACTTTTGGGGTGCCCAATTATACATAGTCCTTGTCGGTCCTGTGACGAAGTAGTGGGAACCCACCCAAAGGCCAAAGACTTTTGCTGAGGTTTTCAGAGGTTCCTGTTGTTCTGTAATGTGATTTCTGTTGGACCACTTCGCATGGTATGTGGCAAGCATTGGCAAGCTATGGGTCTGCCAACGAAGCCTGGACATGCCATGCCCAGCGACCGATCATGGATTGACAGAAACCTTACTTTGGCCTACTCAAGCTGATACAGGCTGGTGCAGCATTCGGCCTGCACCAGAAGAGTTGATTTGGTTTGTGTGCTTTGACAGGCTTCGGGACAAGCGTCACTCAATGTGTAAATGTGTATTTAATGGTTAAGTTTCCCTAACAATCTAGGAACCAAAGGAATCGTGCGAGCGTGAGCTATGCTGCGTCCATAAGTAGCAGCTTACTTGTAGGTACTTACTAGCTACCTCAAGCTACCTAGCTACCTCTAGCTACTACCTCTTCCCTCTACTACCGGCCTACCCCCCGCGGGCTAAAAAACAAATCTGTATTTCATTTGGATCCAAGTCGTCAGTATTTGTGCAGGACCTTATGCGTTATTTGCCGTCGCGTCCGCTCGCTGCGGCCCCTTGGTGCTATGCATCTTGAGATCAAGAGGGTTCACGTAGCGGTTTCCGGTGATTCAAATGGCTGGTGAGCAGCACATTCGATTATGGCAGGAACCGATTTGGAGAAATATGTGATCCGAAACTCATCGATGCTTTGAGTTGTATCAGTTGTATATCGAAGACAAATAATATTCGGGAAGCCTGTTTTACATGCTAAGCACATTGACCTCCGCATACTCCCGTGGGGTTGTGTTCAAAGGTCATCCAGAAACAGGCTCAGTTGAATGCCTCAGTTTGCCCCGGCCACCAATGCAGCATGTCGAGGGCAGATCGGTTTGCCTTAAATGGGGATCCAAGACAGAGGTTGTTGCAGAGGGAAGATGGGAATGCCTGAGAAGGTAAACACTGGCCACTCCAAGTGTATTTGTTGGGCTTCTCTGATTCTCATCTTAGGACGCAAGTCACCAGAATTGAAGAAAGCAATGAGTATGTATGATGATTGAAATTGTCAGACAGAAGATCCTCAGGTCCTTCCATTGCAAGCTTTGTGGCTGCTGTGTGCAGAGGATGGATCATCATTGCCGGAATGCCAAGTGATATGATTTGAGATACTCATGTCACATTGCTAGTGTTTTGTCTTCATTGTTTACAGTAATGTGTTTTGTGGTAACTTATCCGTAGCCATTCACTACTTCCCAGGTACCTAAAGAAACAAAGTGCTCGATGGCGGTCTGTGTTCAGCTTCATTGCTACCCAGGCTCCCTGTAGTCTTGCAACTTGCCAAGTTTCAGGGGACGCTGCAACTACCAGTTATGTAAGTAGTATTTGGATGTATTTAGTAAATAACTTGGTTTGCCATGGTTTGCTTGTTCTATTGCTCAAGGATTTTGTGCAATAGACCCCATGAAGTCCAAGACACCCAGGTCCTTGGGTGGATCGATGTATTGGCCTCCAGAACCAGCGGTTTGGGCCTCAGCGGTTCAAGCTTTGGGCGGATGGTGTGGAAGTACTAGCCACGTTCGATCAGCTATTATCATAAATTTCATTGGGGTGGTATGGTCGACTCCTCATAGGAGCCTCTAGTCTTGAGTCTTACGGGTGTGGGAAGCCAATGATAGCGAGCTGCCATGAATTCAAAGCGCTATCCTGGAGCTTGAGATGGCATGGCTCACAGCAGAACCTTATGTATTGAACGAAAATAGCCTGGAAGGCTCTATGGCAGATTCTGGGATCCTCCGCGTCTTCGTGACTAGGCTAGACAGGCTAGACAAAAGTTTCTACCAAAAAAGAAGGGGTCGAGAAGGTGTGAGATGGCTGTTGGTACGCCCGGAATGCCTTTGCTTCATTGAGGAGAATTCCCTCCACATTCGTATCCAGGGGTATGTAGCGACGAGCGACGAGGCCTTTTGATCCAAGAACGGGGCCTAAAGCTCTGGTATGGGTCAACCTGCTAGAGTCCCTGCAGAAAATGCTGATATTTTATCAATTCTGGCAACACAATCAGTTCAATGTCCGTTTGCTTTCGCAAAATTGGTGCTTTTGCGATCTCAGCCTTGGAATACACTTCCTTGACTGTCACAAGTGCTAGCATGTTTGAGGCCCACAGCCAACTAGGAAACACATGTTGAGATTTACCGTGATTTGCCTTCACGTTAGAAATCAGCATCATTAGCAAACACCAACCACTTCATCACATCATCAGCCTGTTTGCTTGGCTGGCCCGCGTTCTTTGCAGGTCTTTCTATGTGTTCCTTCTGGTCTTGGCAGCTGTTTTTATCCTCTTCATCCAGTTGAGTCTGACCTTCTTAGAGCAGGACGGGCCCGCAGTTTAAACTATCTTGCAGCGTTACTGATTTTGACAGCGGTTCATATCAATGAGACATGGTGACATGATGTAACATGATCACTCAGTTTCTGTCCTGAAGCGGGGGTCTTGCTGCGGCTTCAATGGGTGTTTTGTAACACAAGTAAAGGATCAGAACTTTAGCCCCCGGGTCCCTACAGTTCCCCTGAACCTGATCATTCTGAACACCGCAAACCTGGGTTGCAATGTAGCATTGAAGCAAGGCAGTCAGACTTCAACAATTATTCGGCTTCGGTCGCATCAGAGTTTCATGCGGTTATCTCTACCCACCTCAAAATAACAACAATATTTTTTGAGGTGGGTGGTACGGTGGGTGGGCCCATGGGAGGGCCCAGTTGGAAACGAGAGCTGGACTCTCGACCGTCCTTGAGCCATCAGTTTTTTTTCACGCCGTTCCTTCCAGCGGCTGCAGCGATGGAATTTTCGACATTTGTACAAAGGGGATCAAAGGGAGAAGGGTCAAGACATTGTGAAGAATCAGACTGCATCTACTTGACAAAATTGCGACTTTAGTGCCTTATACCATCTTACACCCTCAAGCTCTTCCTCGATCGAAGAGCCTCTCATGGCACGTTAAGTGGGTGGCTTTGTCATTTGTGCTTTCGAGCGCCGGGTTTGCGCTTTTCCATGTGGCCCAATGGCGGGATCGCTCAAGCGCCACAGAGCCGACACACCCCGGCCAGCAACCTGCCTCGAGCGCTGCTGCTCCAGGCATCCAGGCCCAAGGCACTGCCGATGCCCACGCTGCCTGCGGCGCTTTCTGCGGCGCTGCCTGCGGCGCCGACGATGCCCACGATGCCCAGTCTGGAGTTGCCCAGCGACCGCACGGAGCGGCTGCCGCCCAACATGGCCATGCCGAAACCAGCCTTGCCCAGTGTCTGGGCACAAGTGCATGATGTCAGTGATGTTTGCATGTTAAGTGTTCTCAATATATATTTTTTTTTGGGGGGGGGTGTTCAATCTCACAACATCTCATCCTTTTGAAGGACAGTACTAGTATATAGGATTTTCCCCAAACACCCATGAAATCTTGGGCTCACCCAGTGAAGGCGTGATCCCCAGCATCCCGGGCATCCCGGTGCCTGGCCTCGGAAGAGCCGGTTCGGGGGGTCCAGTGCCGGCTGGGCTGGTGAACCCCAAGACGACGGGGCCACGGCCAGCTGGGGCACTGGAAGAGAAGGACAAGAAAATGGAGAAGGAGGATTTGCCAACTTCCTCTGAAGTGAAAGTCTCGGAGAAGGAGACTTGGAGAGGAATGCAGGGTTTTCAAGCAGTTTTACCTTACCATTGAAGGCAATTGTTGATCACTCAATGTTTACTCAAATCATGATGAATTATTCAATTATTCCAAAGGAGACAACTTTTTGGAACAGCCATCCGTTCACGAGCTGACTGCGTTCTATCAACTACCCTACTCGATCTCAACTTTGGGCATGGCCCCACGACTTTCCCCTTGTAAAAAGGTGCACCCCTTTGTTGCGAAATATCTCAATATGTTGTGACATGCGCTGAGTCTTCTGCGTATGGAGACAAGTGCGTCCTGGAACATGTTCATTCTCAACAAATTGTCAATGTAGACTGCAGACCAACAGATAACTTCCGACGAAGTCAAACGTTTGATCTCTGAATGTTTAATCAGCGTCACAACACGCTCGCCATTGGAAACTCCGCTTCCAAAACCAAAAGGCAACTCCAAAGTTGCAGCTGCCACGAAAAGGCATAGTAACTGTAGGCCTTGGACCCAGTCCCATGTGGGAAGCTTTGCATGGTTTCAAAAGGGCCCAACACTTTCAGGGTGTTGTTTCGTCAACTAGGCACATCCAGCCCAATGGTTTTATTTCAGACTTGAACACATGTGCCTTTGGATGGCATGATTGATCCGAGAGATGAAGATCATCATCATCTCTCTCTCTCTCTATATATATATCTCATCCAAACAGGGTTTCGCAACGGCCAGTCCACCGACTGTCAAATGTGTTTGCACATCCGACTGTCACTTGCGTGTCATCTTTCAGGAGGGCGACAAGACTTTAAGCCTGGATGAGATGGTGAAGAAGGTCGGTGAGAAGGTGAACAAGGCTGGTGGCCTACAGGCCATCGGCTATGGCGCCAGGGCAGGGAAGCCATATGTGCGTGGCCGCCCAGATGATGTCGTGGCCAACGAGTACCGGAAAAGCCCGTATGGCCCGATCAGGGGCAACGACAAGAAGGTGGCGAAGGGGGTGGGATGGCTTCAAGTTTGTAGGTTTGGTGGTTTTTGTACGTTTTCGTGGGGAGGAGAGGTGTCGCATGGACATATAGGTGTCAGATATAGAAGTGGAGAAAACAGTGCATAGCGAGATTCCCCTTCTTACCAGAAATACCATCCCAAGTTCAGATGTTTCGGCTAGAACACCATTGGGCAGTGAAAGCGGAAGTTTGACAGGATTAACCTTGGAATTGGATAATATATTCTCAGGCCGGGGTGGGCACCCCACACCTGAGCCAAAAAGTAACTCTGCCTGTAGTTGTTTTTTTCCGTGTGAACTGTATGTTCAACTCCGCGGTTTTAGTTGTGTTTGCTTCTTTTGTTTGTGGCAGTTGTGATCAGATCAAAGTCTTTCTTTATTGAGGGGTTTGCCGCGACAGTGGGCAAAAGAAAACAATTGACTCTTGTTTCTATTGTTTCGAGCCTGCTTCTTGGGTTGGTGCTTACTCTTTTGGGAGGAATGGATTGTAGACAGGATCAAAACATAAAAGTGTTTTTTCACTTTAATCTCACCAGTGAAACCAACCTTAAAAGCTGTTAAAGCAAGACTTCAATTGAGCCAGAGTTAATCCGAGACAGAAAAGGTGGAGAGACCCCCTATGGAAAAAGAGCACATTTGTGTTCTGGTTGTTTTGAACTCTGCCCCTTTTAGTGTTTCTAGAACACCCCAGAATCTTGTTCCTTGGAGGTGTCCCTGCATCACACACCATCACTGATCACCTTATTGATAGGCTTTACAGTGTATTTGCGTACATACTTTTGCGCACACCGTAACACCTTTTTTGCACAAAGCAGCCTCCATCGGAAGCGTCCAGATGAGACAGCTTCGCGGTTTGGCAGGATGATGCTGCTCCACAGAGCCCGACGGAAGCGGGGCGATATAGCGGCGGCATGGGAAGCATGGGTCAGCTTTACTGAGCCGAGGAAGATGATGCAGTTGTACTCAAGCGCATCACGCAAGATACTCGAAGGCTTGACATGATAGCTGATGTCTAGTGCAGTTGTCACCAGTGTTGGGATCCAGAAAGGGTTCAAGTGGTGGGTAAGACATCCATGCCAAGTTGCATCAGTAGTCTGACAGGAAGCACCTGATGCTGGAAGGAAGGGGAGATTTGTTCAACGCCCTGTTCAGCCTAGCCCCTGGAACATGGCCCTTGCAATACATTGGCAATACATACATATATATATATGTATATATATATATTTACTTAATAATGTTATAGTTCATGTTATATGACTATTTTATTTTGTATATTCACTTAATTTTTCAGATAAACAGCATTGTCTCCGTCAACATCTTCCTCGGCTGCTCTCGGATTGTCGCTTCTTAAAGAACGCCAAAGAGGCCAAGGAAAGCCAGCGCGAGAAGTGATGTGAGAGACACCATGGTGACAGTGATTGTTCAATTTCAATGAGAGCAAAACATGGTAGCGGTGAAGCCTGATAGGTCACCAAACTCATCCATAATTACTGTGAGAAAGCAAAGGTGTCTTGGAGCTGTGAGCTCAACAGCTTGTCCAAGTGGTGTCAAAAGACTTTGACCTTGCAAGGTCATGTAAATAGTTGCTTTGAGGTAAACAGTGCTGCCGTGCATGCTCTTGGATTCCTTCTGTAAGACAACTTGAGGATTTGAAGCTTGATACTGAGCATCAGTCCTTTTGGGTTGTAGTCCTTGTCCCTACAAGATCATCACTGGGGCGGTCGGACCAGTCGGTCTCAACGGTGTCATTTGGAGTCGTCGCGGCTCGGCCAGGCGTCGTTTTCAACGGCTTGGGATGCTCAGATCACGGGGGTACGATGAGCAATTGATAGGCCTTTAAAGCCTTTATCCATTGGAATCCTTTTTTGGTCCAGCACAGTGGCACGTCCTCACACAAGTAGCTTTTATCAAGGTGGACATGGCACACAAGCAATTCAGGAGCTTCAAAAGTTGTATGTCTTCAGCTTGTTCTTCCCCGTCTCAGAGAAGGAGTGACATGCTCTGGGAATGAGACAATGATGTGACATAGTTTTCTCACGTATAAAACCGTCAGCGCATTTTTACGGAGCCAGAACCTGAAGAGTAGGCTTAAAGCAAGAGACATCGGACAAGATATCCATGGGTCGGCGTATTCCCAGACCGTGAAGCCTTCTTCAGATGAAGCCCAGCAAGCAAATCTGCATGTTGCATCATAGTTTTAGGGCAGACTATGACGGCATCCGCAAAAGACACACTCGAAATGCCTAAGGCTGCAGTGGTTGTCATGATCGTCATCCTTTGTGATGTGCCGGCTATGATGTTTGTTTTTGCTTCTTGGCACAAGTGCACAAGCACCAAGAGGCAGGTGGAGGTCATGCCTTATCATCTCACAATGTCTCACAATCTCTTCCAAGCTGCTGTTGTGAAGAGCATGCAGGAGATGTGAGCAACTGAAGTCTTTGTAGAGTAGTGAGAAACTCACAGTGTTAACTTAAAGCAATAATGTGCATATACTATATTATAATACATATTATGTATGTTATATGTGTATCTATACACATTTGACATACAAACTGACATTGTCATTCGGGTACTCAGCCTGTACTCAGATTCCTTATGTATACATATATACTTGGGCGTCTCAAGCTTGCAATTGCACTGCCTGCTGCCTGGCTCAGCTCAGGCCCTGATCTTGCGACAGAGCGCTCGGATGCCCGGGGGCATCGACACCTGGGAGCGTCAGGGAGATACTGCCAGTCTTCAAGTCGATGTCCACCAACTTTGTCCGTGCACTAGTCTTTACTGAAAAGTGTGGGTTTGAGTGTCAAGCTGAACTGACCTTTGCTACTGCAAAGAAGAATGCATTCGTGTGACGACCAAAGACCAAAGGTACATTTGTTTGCTCCTCCGGGTCAACAGTTAGTCTGTATGTTTTACGACCGTTTTGCAAGCCTTAGTTCAGTAAAGAATTGTACCAGTGGTGAAGAGCTTAGAGAAGATGAACCACCAGGGTCTCATTCAGCACACCAACCTTGCTGCTTCAAGGCCCTTGGTCCCTCAGAATCCGACCCAAGTCATAGAACATTCCCTTAGACAACCCCATGTCCAGGTCATGCAAGTCATGGCTGCAGCAACCCGAGCCTTGTACCTGGACCATAGCTACTCGTTGAGGGTGAAATTTCATCGCTGAAGGTCTACATGTTGGTGAATGTCACGACCTATGAGATCCTTGTTTGTCCACCACATGTTTGCCAGCGCTTTCCCAGGCGGGTCTCTTCTCCAGTTTCTTCAGAGTTAGCATGTTTTGGTTGGCTGCCAATTTACAACAGATGAGAGAGATCACAAAGTAGATGCTACTTGTTGTGAGAATGAGGAAAGAGCATATCATCCATACATAATAACCATAACACCTACTGAATGAGTTCTAAGTTTGTACAGAGTCCAACAGAGTGTTGGTGTGATGAGCTTCTTGAGAGCAAACAACGCTCTCCTTTCTAAATGGCAGCTTTGTCAACAAAATTGAGTGTGCACGGGCACGGAGGAAGTAGTATGCCTTTGATTTACTATAATTAGTGCAGGATGTTTCCTGCACGATATGTCAGTTGGCTTTGTTCTAGATGGGGGGCCGGCTGGTTTCTGACCGAGGTGGTTACCCGAAAAGGGGGCAGGTGCGGGTTCAACATAATTATGCCTTCCAGGCGTTTCCTAGTGTGGCCAACATTAGTCTAATGTTTTTTTGTAGTTGGACCAGCTGCTCACTGGAGGTGTGGTTTTGCTTTGCCATTGTGGCAATTCACCACTGCATATGGGGGCTAGAACTCACCCTGGTCCGCATAATTTATTGTTCATTTGTTTGCTGTTTTTTTTTGTCGTTTTCTGCCCATTGCACAAGCTGCTAGCCATGGCTGAGAGCACCAACCCATGCCTTGATCCGAGGAGGAGCAGCAGCCTTTGGTACTTGCAAGATTGCAGCTCGGGGGCTCAAGCGCTTCGGCACCGAAGATGTTGCTGTTGGAGTTTGTATCATTAAATCTGATTCGATCAATCACGTCATAACATGACACGTTATACATATTTATATATATATAATAATAATGTTATATATGATTATATATTTGTGTACTACACAGACGGGCTAAAAAAATCTAAAACATATATAGGTCTAATACATGGGCAGGCTAACAGTTGAACAGTTGGTAACAAACCTGTGAAGACATGACCTACAACCTATTTTCATCCTGCAGATAATCACTGTGAAATTCCGGCGGTGGAGCTTTCACCCCGAAGTGAACTTATAGTATATAATTAGTGTTAATTTTGTTTGCGGTGGAAACTTCTGTGCCCCAAGAAATCTATTGGGTAGAGAGGTCAAGTGGTCATAATCTGAAGAGGAATGTTGCTAACCCCTCGTCCTCCTGAAGTATGTGTGCATTGTGCATGCTGACAAAGCAATACAGCGGTTTTGTGTCCTGAGGCTTGCAAGGGTGCCTGCGGAACATTGTCAGCTATTGGACGTTTGAGAGCCCAGAAGTTTGACAGTGATAGACGCCAGTGACTGCTTAACAACTATTTCCAGATCACCAAACCGAACTTCCACCTATTGAAACAGACTAAAACCATTGTGCTCATTATCATTTTCCCATCTTGGGTCCACAGTGTTGGACATTGGAAGGGAAGGTGACAGTTGGCCCATGTTGGCCCTGTTGCCCTGGCACGATATGAGTTATATATATATATTTAAAATACGTTTCCTTGAAGAAGCGCTCGCACTGATGATTTGGTTCCTAGATTTTTTGGGAAACTTCACTGTTCATTTTTTATATATCATGGGTTGTCGTGGCAGTTCCATCCAGTTCCCAGATATCGTTCAAGAGAAGCGATCATGGCAATATATGGCAACAATGCAGCGTTCTTAGTTCGTGAAGCTCTTAACTGGAGGAGACGTTTGATTTGGGCATCCATTCAAGCCTTTGCGCCGTTGCGCAATTGGCCACCAAGGATGGATATGAGTCGAGACTTCTTGGACTTTGAGGCCTGTGATATCCTCCAGAGACTTCATGTTAGAGTTGAGTACTATCCATGGCCAACGCTTGGTGATGCATATTAATATTGGTGTCCTTGGCTAGAGATGGGTATTCCTAAAGTGGGACAGACTAACTAAGCAGAGCAATGTTGCAATGATCAGACGGTGAAGCCCGGCCTTCCTTATCGGAACAAGAAGCTACTAGGGGCTCCTGGCCTTACTACTAGGAGCAAGGACGCTACTAGTAACAAGTGCCACGCTAGTAGTAACAAGTGCCTTACTAGTAGTAACAAGAAGCTACTAGGGGCTCCTGGCCTTACTACTAGGAGCAAGGACGCTACTAGTAACAAGTGCCACGCTAGTAGTAACAAGTGCCTTACTAGTAGTAA